CCCACCCCCAGCACTGGCGGTGGATGGCCAGGCGAAGAATGCACAGCTGGGCATGCGTGCTCTCAAAGTGGCCATAAGACTACAGCTACAGGCTGACAAGCCGGACTTTGTCAAGTGCAGGTAGGGAAGATTGTTTCTGTACAAGTGTGTGTTTGTGTTAGTGTGTTTTCTGTATGTGAGGGCATTTCTGTGTGTGTTTTGTGTCTTATTTTTGTGTCTGTATATGTGTGTTTTGTATGTATTTGAGTTTTATGAGTGCTTTTGTGTTTTATGAATGTGTGGGTGTATGTGTGTGTGTGTTTGTGTGCGTATGTATCTGAGGCATATGAGCACATTTTGTATTTGTAATGTGTTTTGTATGTGTGTTTGTGTGTGTTATTCTCTATCTCCTTAGATTATTAACGGATGCTACCTAAATTTATAGTTGTCCCTCTCTGACGGGGTGTCACTCATGGACCAAACACCCCCCCCCCCCTCCTCTTTCTCTCTTTGTCCTGACTCCTCTTTCTTTCTCTCTCTCTCCTTCTCTTTCTCTCCTTCTCTTTCTCTCTCTCTCTCTCTCTCTCTCTCCCTCCCTCTCTCCCCCTCTCTCTTTCTCTCTCACTCTCTCTCTCCCACTCTCTCTCTCTGTCTCTCTCTCGTCCCCAGCATTGACGTGAGACAGCTGATAGCACTGGCTCTTAACGGGCGAGAGGAAGAAGCGCTGACTTACTTCAGGGAGACTGTGGATGTGATTGAGACACGTGCGCAGGTGACAGAAACAGTACATAGCCCACCCACTTTGATTGTTCGTTTGAGTAAACAAAGGCTTCATCATCATCATCGTCATTATCACGTGTGTGTGTGTGCGTGTGAGAATTTGTGGGATAGAGGAATAGAGAGAGCAGGGGGGGGGGGGGAGAAGGAGGAGGAGGAGTGTATAAAACTGTCCCCATAGTTTTATGCACCTCGCATAATTGAGCCAAATTTGATTTTTTTTGGCGTAATTTCTGATTATTTTCCTTTATCATTCTTTGTTAAAAATTAACAGAATCGCATAATTTCACATTTTTGGGCTCAGTTTGCTTTATTTCAGAATTTTTCTTGCATAAAACAACAGGGACTGATAAAAGGCTCATGATAATGTAATCTGACTTGCTGTACACAACTACCCAATGATAATACCCTGTAATTGTCAACACAGAGTACTTCATTGTTTGGATTGGTGCAGAATATTATTTGCGATGCTTGTTGTTTAAAATTAATGCAATTGTTTAATTAGAGAGACATGTTGACGTGTCACTTCCTTGGCAAAGGAGGATCTTATGGGCTCTTTAAACTGTTTAAGGTGGGTGATGGTTTGACAGCTCCATTGGTCGGTCCTACTTCTTTTCTTTCCCTCTGTTCTTTCTGCCTGTCCTTAATTACGCTTTCCCTGCTCTTAATGACTGATCTTATAGCGATGTACTTTTCTTTATTCAAATAAATAAAGTCAAATTTCTCTGGCTGCATTTCTTTTCGAGTCTGCTGATTTATGATAAGTTGTTTGGATGTGGAATTGGAGAATAAATAAATGAACGCTTCAATCATTCACTTGCAGTGGTTTAAATATTTCATTATTTCATTTGTCTAGCCCAATGTTTATCTCTCTGTTGCAGAGCTGATATGAAAGTGTTACTAGTACACATCAGAACAGGTAAGTAACATATTTCCTCATTTACTCTAATTGAAAGGAAAAATATCTCTCTATACTCCGCAGATTTTTCACTGGACTGTAGGGCTTGAGAAACATACATTAGGCTTGCCAACTGTTCTGAATTTCCCTGGACTGTCCAGGATTCAGCAATCAGGAATTTGAGAGCCTTGTCACTCACAGTGCACCATAAACTATTCCCACGTTATGTAATTCTGTAATCTAATGTTAAAATGTGGGTTGATTGTGTTTTGAAAAAGCTGGCAAGCCTGATATATTTTCCTGTATAGAACCCAACTTCAATTCAAAGTTTACTGACCAAACTCAAGCCCAATTACACTCAAACTTACCTTGTCTGTTTACTTTAAGGTTATGGGCAGTTAATATTAAACCATACGTTTCTTATGACCACGTTTGACTATTGTATACACCATAACCTTTTACAAGGGGAAGACCATTTATGTGCTGCAAGTATGACCTGAGACTTGTTCAGTTACATTTTATGAAATAGGGCTTGACCTCAGAGACTTACGGTTACTATAGCTAACAGAAGATTGGCTTGAATAATATTAAATCCTCAATTACCATACATCAATATGCTCAAATATATTCAAGAGACTAGTAAGAGTTCTTCTTCATCTATTTGAAAGTGATTTCTTCTATGGTGCAAAACGAGATACTCATGATCTCAACTTTTTCTACAGGCAGTTGGAGGGCACCATTGGTAGGTCCTTTGCTTTTCCTCTTTTGTCTCTGTCTGTGCCTTGCTTTTTCCCAGCACTGAATTACCTATTTGTGTTGATATGTTTCTCTGACTAACCCAAAACTCTGCTTTTTTTCCTTTTACACATGGTAAGGAACAGTTCTCTCTGTATCTCATTGTTGAAGTAAACTGAAGCCCATCAAGATAATAAAGATCATTTAGTGCAGGAAAAAAGACTAGCCATGCAGACATTAATTACAGAAGGAAAGAAGAGAAGTAGGACCTATCAACAGAGCCCCTCAAACACCTGCTGTGTATCTTGTAGGTTATAACAAACTGTTGGTGCACAATGAGACAACAAAGACACTCAGCTCAGAGGATGTTGAGAGGGAAGTCATCTGGTTCATGAAACTTTGTGAGTAGTTTTTATTTTGTTTTCAATGCATTGAATACAGGCTGCTTTAAAAAAAGATCATAATATTATATAATTACATAATATATATGAAGACTTCAGGGGGAAAACGACGGTAGTCACAAACTGAAAATCGTGAGGGTACCGATTTTGAACGCTTGTTGACTAATAACTGTATTTCTGTTCAACTGTTGGTTAATTATTGTTGTTAGATTTGCCATTCAATAACACTTAACTATAAACCACCAGTCAAACAAGTATGAAGTTATGGAGTCCACAAGGTTTTAAAATTGGCATCCTCACAATTCCCAGTTTGCTACTTCCGTCGTTTTTCCCCTTTAGTCTTCATATATATATATCTATATCTATCTGTCTATCTATCTATCTATATCTATATCTATATCTATATCTATATCTATCATATATATATCCTCTCTTTCTATCCTCTCCCCATCCATGCTGGCATCTGTGATGTAACAGGTTCTGTACCGTTGCATGCAGATGACGTGAGTTCAATTCCCACCCACAGAAATTTTGCAGAAGCACAGTAAACCATGAGGACCATTCAAAATTCCTCTGGTCTGGCTGTCTTTGACTGTTCTTGTTAGTTTGGGGTTTTTGTAAAAAAAAATTGTGTCAGGATCATGCATTATTTCAATACACTTGAGAATCTAACATCTATTGCTACAATTTAAATGGTGTTGGGTGCAAAAAGGTAAAAAAAAAAGAATTATTTCTGATGTCAGTACATAAGTTACTACATTGTATGTAGATGTAATTTGATCTCAGACACAAAGTTAATGAATCAGAACACAGTACCTCTATTTCTCCTAAATGATTGAGGAGAAAGGAAAGAATCAGATCGGTTTTAAAAAAATGTGTTTTTGATATAGAATTTGGCAAGAAGTTTCTGTCTTTGCCTTCCACATTGGCTATGTTACTGAAATGTTTAATATGATATCCTTGAATCCATCAGCTTTCCCTGACGCAGTAGATATGTTGGCACAATGATTTGCTCTGGTATTCTTGTATCCAACAGCTTGGAATCTAGCCTTGCAGTCCAAGGATGATGCGTTCTGCATGAAAGAACTGTTCAACCTTTGCTCTCAGGTAATTAGTACAATGAATGTCAGTACTTCTAGAGCATGCACTTGACAAGTATGAAGTTAAAAACATTTTTTTTTCTGTGTCCAGCTTTTGGAGTGTAATCTTTATGGGTAGATATCGTTTTTATAAAAAGGTAATTGTAGATATTTTTTGCCCTCTTTGACTCCATTTAGATCTTTGAATAGGTGGGCTGCTTCGCCCTTGCGTGTCACAAATATACTCAAATAAAGCTCTTTCCATACCAAATTCAAACTCATGTCTCTTGCATGCAATGGCAAGGTGCCTAACCGCTACACCACAGATGCTGGTGTAGTTTTATTGTGGGGAAACAACAAAGAATGTGTTCGTAAAATATCATTCAAATTGTATTAAATAGCGGTACAGAAATAACACTCTTTGTCTATTTCCCCTCTTGACGTCCCCAAACCCCATCATTTTCCCACTCATCTCCCCCC